CTGTGGATGATGCTCAGCCCATGGGTGCCTGTGGTGACCTGGTGCTCCAGGAGGAGTCTCTGTAAATCTGTGCTCTGGACTCTGCTCCCAGTTGCTGCTGGATCCCAGCGGATCCTGAGGTTTTGTCTACACTCTCCCGTCCTTCTGATGTGCTCCTTCCCCTGCCTGTTCAAGGGCCAGCGAGCGCAAGGAGTCTCTCCCAAGCCCTTTAGAGCTGCCCCGAGTCCTCTTGCAGAGGAGCTGCAGACTGTGCCTTTGTGTGTGTCGAGTCTGCTCGGCCTCGAGAGGCGCGGAGGGGAGCGGGGTCACTGCTATTTCCCTTCCCACCTGAGAGCTGCACTGTGCCCGCACGCAAACTGTGATTCTGTGTGGTTGTTGTTGTGTGTTTAGGTGGTGGGTGGTGGTTTGTGTTTTTTGTGGTTTTTTTGTGGTTGGACTCGATGATCTCTGAGGTCCCTTCCAACCGCTACGATTCTGTGATGCTGTGATTCTGTTTGGGACCTGCCCGGCAGGGAGAGGGGTTTGCTGCACGGCAGCAGGGTTTGGCCGAGCAGACTCGACACACACAAAGGCACAGTCTGCAGCTCCTCTGCAAGAGGACTCGGGGCAGCTCTAAAGGGCTTGGGAGAGACTCCTTGCGCTCGCTGGCCCTTGAACAGGCAGGGGAAGGAGCACATCAGAAGGACGGGAGAGTGTAGACAAAACCTCAGGATCCGCTGGGATCCAGCAGCAACTGGGAGCAGAGTCCAGAGCACAGATTTACAGAGACTCCTCCTGGAGCACCAGGTCACCACAGGCACCCATGGTCTGAGCATCATCCACAGCCAGCTACGAGCTCCCTTCTTCTGCCCTACACATCGATGACATCTTAGAGCCACAGAATTTTTTAGGTGGGAAGGGACCTTAAAGATCATCTCGTTCCAACCCCCCTCCCACCAGCCCAGGTTGCTCCAAGCCCCCTCCAACCTGCCCTTGAACCCCTCCAGGGATGGGGCAGCCACAGCTTCTCTGGCCAACCTGGGCCAGGCTCTCACCACCCTCAGGGGCAAGAATTTCCTCCCCAGATCTCACCTCAATCTCCCCTTTTCCAGCTTAAAACCCTTCCCCCTCGTCCTAGGGCTCCCCTCCCTGATCCAGAGTCCCTCCCCATCTCTCCTGTAGCCTCCTTCAGGTACTGGAAGGCCATTATAAGGTGTCTCTGGAGCTGGAGATGCTGGGAGATGCCTTCACCTCCAAAGCCACCGCCTGCTCTCTCATCCCAAATTGGCTTTGTGCTCTTCCCACCTCGCTCCCTACCTCCAGGGACACCAGTCAGCTCTGATCACTGGGGTCTTTGCTGCTTCAGGTGTGGGTCTCAGCCAGGCTCTGACCTGTTGTGGTCACCTTCCTTCACCTCTGACACCTTCCCAACCAAAAGGGGTCATCTTTGGAGGGAATAACGCTCATCGTACACGGTCCCCGTTAATTAGGCGATACGAGCAAAGGTTGAGCAGGGACTCACTGACACCAGATGCGTTTTGTTTGTGACAAAACCACACCATGGACCAAGCGAGCAGATGTAAAGCAAAGCAGGAAGGCACAGCTTCCACCCATCCCTGCTTTCAGCGGAATTCGGGTAATTCCTCGCTTGGTCTGGAAGCCAAATCCTCGGCCCCAGCCCAAGCCTCGTGGAGAATCACCCGTTCACCAACAGCTCTTCTCCCCGCTGGCGGAGCCCGGACGCAGCTGCCACCTTCAAATACTTTGCCAAAGAAAACAAAGGGCTGCACAAAGGCAAGACCAGCTGGAGAAGATCCTAAGAGGGGTCCCCCCCCACAACCAGCCGTGTCCTTGTCCCCCCCCACCCCATCCAAGGCCGGGTTGTACTCACTGCGTAGGGGGACGAGCCGTGGACGTGCTCCAGGGAGTACTGGCGGCTGTATTTCGGCATGGAATGTGCTGAACTGCTGTCGTTCAACATCAGGGGGCTGCAAAACATTCCCAAACACCACAGGAGTCACTGCGCCGCCGGCAACGGCTCTCGGGCACCCCCTTTCCCCAGGTGGTCCCCAACCCCACAACTGGGCACCTGCACCCACCCCAGTGGGTGCCAACAGCCCCCCGTCCCCGGGTGCCCTGGAGGGGCAAGTGGCCCTGGGGGGGTGGAGGAGAGCGGAGCAGGCAGCCCCACCACCCCACCGAGGAACACACCGAGCCCCCGGGGCCACATTTTGCAAGTCTGTGGAGCTGAAATGTAAAAAGCTGAGGCCTCAGAGGATTTTCTTTATAGACCCTGGTCCCCTCCTTCTGCAGGGCTGTATTGTCACCGCTCTGCCTGGCGTCCCCCCGCCGCGGCCAACTGCTCCAAAGATGGATCACTCCTGGTCAGCTGTGACACCACCACGTCTGTGGCCCTTTTCATGTACTCGAGCGCTGGGGAGAAACCTCTTTCCCCTCACAAGATCAATCATTTCAGCACGTCCTGGGCACACCATCACCAGATAAACCACCCCGGTCATTAATAACAATCAAGGCTGCTGGGGTGGTGTCTGCCATATGGTGCTGCCGGGCACCGCTCGAAGACAAAAGGAGGGTCCCGCAGCTCGACAGGCAAGAGGGGGACACGGAGGGGATGGGAGGAGACACACCATGGAGTGTCTGCCAGTTTGTATGTGAGCACCTGTAAAAATCAGGTGGGTGAGGAACTCGGGACTGGAAGAGCAGGACCCAGTCAGGAGACAACAGGAGAACCTGTTGTTCCACCATCCAGCGAGACCTGGACAGGCTGGAGAGCTGGGCAGAGAGGAACCTGATGAAATTCAACCAGGGCAAGTGTAGGGACCTGCCCCTGGGGAGGAATACCCGCATGGACCAGTAGAGGTTGGGGGTGGCCTGCTGGGGAGCAGCTCTGGGGGAAAAGACCTGGTGGACATCAGGATGCCCAAGGGCCAGCAATGGGTCCTGGTGGCCAAGAAGGCCAATGGCATCCTGGGGGCATCAGGAAGAGTGTGGAGAACCTCCAGGGAGGTCACCCTCCCCCTCTGCTCTGCCCTGAGAAGGTCCCATCTGGAGCTCTGGGACCAGTTCTGGGCTCCCCAGTTCCAGTGGTGCCCAGGGCCAGGAGGAGAGGGACCGGGCCCCAACTGGGACAGGGGAAGTTCCACCTCAAGCTGAGGAGGAGCTTGTTTGGGGTGAGGGTGGCAGAGCCCTGGCAGAGGCTGCCCAGAGAGGGGCTGGAGTCTCCTTCTCTGGAGACATTCCCACCCCCCTGGACCCGTTCCTGTGGGACCTGCTCTGGGTGCCCCTGCTCTGGGTGGGGGTTGGAGGAGATGATCTCCAGAGGTCCCTTCCCACCCCACATCGTTCTGGCATTCTGTGAATTGTTCCTAATTCTGGGATAAAACCGAGTAACTATTAACTGGCCAAAACAAATTGGCTGGAGGGCTGTCCTGGGCTGAGTGACACAGGACTAATTTCTCTTCTAATGCTGGGGAAAACCGCACTTTTAGAAGAAAAAGTGTCTGAATTTGTGAAAATATTTACTTTATGTCCAGCTGGACTATGTGGGATTCAAGGCCTCAGTGTTTTCAAGCCTTGCCAGGCGCGGGGACGAGGACAGCGAGACCCAGGCACCTGCCCCAAGCTGCCAAGAGATTATTTCACACCATGAACGTCAAATTCAGTAGGGTAATTCCTCGCTTGCTCTGGAAGCCAAATCCTCGGCCCCAGCCCAAGCCTCGTGGAGAATCACCCGTTCACCAACAGCTCTTCTCCCCGCTGGCGGAGCCCGGACGCAGCTGCCACCTTCAAATACTTTGCCAAAGAAAACAAAGGGCTGCACAAAGGCAAGACCAGCTGGAGAAGATCCTAAGAGGGGTCCCCCCCCACAACCAGCCGTGTCCTTGTCCCCCCCCACCCCATCCAAGGCCGGGTTGTACTCACTGCGTAGGGGGACGAGCCGTGGACGTGCTCCAGGGAGTACTGGCGGCTGTATTTCGGCATGGAATGTGCTGAACTGCTGTCGTTCAACATCAGGGGGCTGCAAAACATTCCCAAACACCACAGGAGTCACTGCGCCGCTGGCAACGGCTCTCGGGCACCCCCTTTCCCCAGGTGGTCCCCAACCCCACAACTGGGCACCTGCACCCACCCCAGTGGGTGCCAACAGCCCCCCGTCCCCGGGTGTCCTGGAGGGGCAAGTGGCCCTGGGGGGGTGGAGGAGAGCGGAGCAGGCAGCCCCACCACCCCACCGAGGAACACACCGAGCCCCCGGGGCCACATTTTGCAAGTCTGTGGAGCTGAAATGTAAAAAGCTGAGGCCTCAGAGGATTTTCTTTATAGACCCTGGTCCCCTCCTTCTGCAGGGCTGTATTGTCACCGCTCTGCCTGGCGTCCCCCCGCCGCGGCCAACTGCTCCAAAGATGGATCACTCCTGGTCAGCTGTGACACCACCACGTCTGTGGCCCTTTTCATGTACTCGAGCGCTGGGGAGAAACCTCTTTCCCCTCACAAGATCAATCATTTCAGCACGTCCTGGGCACACCATCACCAGATAAACCACCCCGGTCATTAATAACAATCAAGGCTGCTGGGGTGGTGTCTGCCATATGGTGCTGCCGGGCACCGCTCGAAGACAAAAGGAGGGTCCCGCAGCTCGACAGGCAAGAGGGGGACACGGAGGGGATGGGAGGAGACACACCATGGAGTGTCTGCCAGTTTGTATGTGAGCACCTGTAAAAATCAGGTGGGTGAGGAACTCGGGACTGGAAGAGCAGGACCCAGTCAGGAGACAACAGGAGAACCTGTTGTTCCACCATCCAGCGAGACCTGGACAGGCTGGAGAGCTGGGCAGAGAGGAACCTGATGAAATTCAACCAGGGCAAGTGTAGGGACCTGCCCCTGGGGAGGAATAACCCCATGGACCAGTAGAGGTTGGGGGTGACCTGCTGGGGAGCAGCTCTGTGGGAAAAGACCTGGTGGACATCAGGATGCCCAAGGGCCAGCAATGGGTCCTGGTGGCCAAGAAGGCCAATGGCATCCTGGGGGCATCAGGAAGAGTGTGGAGAACCTCCAGGGAGGTCACCCTCCCCCTCTGCTCTGCCCTGAGAAGGTCCCATCTGGAGCTCTGGGACCAGTTCTGGGCTCCCCAGTTCCAGTGGTGCCCAGGGCCAGGAGGAGAGGGACCGGGCCCCAACTGGGACAGGGGAAGTTCCACCTCAAGCTGAGGAGGAGCTTGTTTGGGGTGAGGGTGGCAGAGCCCTGGCAGAGGCTGCCCAGAGAGGGGCTGGAGTCTCCTTCTCTGGAGACATTCCCACCCCCCTGGACCCGTTCCTGTGGGACCTGCTCTGGGTGCCCCTGCTCTGGGTGGGGGTTGGAGGAGATGATCTCCAGAGGTCCCTTCCCACCCCACATCGTTCTGGCATTCTGTGAATTGTTCCTAATTCTGGGATAAAACCGAGTAACTATTAACTGGCCAAAACAAATTGGCTGGAGGGCTGTCCTGGGCTGAGTGACACAGGACTAATTTCTCTTCTAATGCTGGGGAAAACCGCACTTTTAGAAGAAAAAGTGTCTGAATTTGTGAAAATATTTACTTTATGTCCAGCTGGACTATGTGGGATTCAAGGCCTCAGTGTTTTCAAGCCTTGCCAGGCGCGGGGACGAGGACAGCGAGACCCAGGCACCTGCCCCAAGCTGCCAAGAGATTATTTCACACCATGAACGTCAAATTCAGTAGAAATGAGAAAGTTTGCTGAGGAGTTTCTCTCTCTCCTCTAATGGCTGAGATCCTGAGAACTCCTTGCCCTGGTGCAGGAGCCCTGAGCCCTTCCCTTCCTCGCAGTGTCCCCCACTGGCTGTCCCTGCTGGGAGTGAGCAGCCTCCTGTGATGGAATGGGCTGGGGATAACTCTTGTGTATCTTATATTAGAATTGGGATTAATACTGTTTCCTTAGTATTATTGTTAATTATTTAGTCTTCTCCTAAGAAATCTATTTATATTTCAACCCTGGTGTTTCTTTGCTTTCCCTGATTCCCCTGTCCGGGGGGGGAGGGGTCATGGGGTGAGAGAATGATTGTCTTAAACCACAATAAATCGTTAGGGGTTTTCTCAAACGGTAACAAAGGCTGAGGTGGTGCCCAGTCCTACCCCGCTGGCAAGGGACCCACTCTGCTGATCCTCTCTTTATTCCCTCTCAGCCAGGGAATCTTTATCGGGAGGGAGAAATGCAGACTTACATCTTCCTCTTCACCCCAAGGATACGGTTGGATTGCACCAATGAAATCAAAAACTGGATAAGCTGCGGGGAGAAAAAAAAAACAGGGAGAAGCTTTGTCAGGGCGTGCACAGTCCTTGGATCCACACGAGAGGAGCAGCTCCGGGACTGCTCGGTCCCCGTGCTGGGAGGAGGATGGAGGAGGATGGAGAAGGATGGAGGAGGATGGAGGAGGATGGGCACAAAGGGGAGGGCTAAGGGGAAAACCGCTAAATTTGGCACTGCCAGCCCAAATTTAACCTCTCCCCACTGGATTTCCACCATCAAAGGGAGAAATCACAGTGATTGAAACTATTCCTAAACAGAACTCCTGCCGCTGCAGCCCACGGATGCTGTGAGGGCCCAGCCCAGGTCACTGCATCACCCCAAAAACCCCCACACCGCAGTGTCCCGATCTCTCCGTCGGTCACTGCATCACCCCAAAAACCCCCACACCACAGCGTCCCGATCTCTGTCAGGAAAAGCAGGGATTTACCTTATTGACCACTTTCTGCTGCTGCGCGTGCTTCTGCCTCAAGCTGGCCACTTCCCTCCACAGCGCTTCGTTCTCGCTGCAAGAGAAGAAGAACAACAACAAAAATAAAAAGGCCATCTGAGACCAAAAAAAAAACCAACAACAAGACAACCCACAACCCTGCGAATAAAGGGGGGGACAAGCTGGCAAACGGCAGCGGGGGGATTTGCTGGAGTCTCCAGACACCGGCTCATTTACAGCCTCCCGGGGCCGCGGGTGAAATTACCTTCATTAACTGGGGCTTTGCGGCGGCTCGTTGCGCTGCGGGACCAGGCGCCGTTTCACACGTGGGCACCAACACCCAGCCCTCCCCGGCCACGACCAGCCCCTCGCATCTGCCACCAGCCATTACGGGGGAAAGGCCCCCGGTGACCCAGCTCCAGCTCCTTCATCTGGCCCAGGTGCACGTGGGGCCGCTTATAAATCAGTTTTTTCCTTTTTTTTCTAAGGATGGGGAGGGGGGGAAAAGCCAGGGAGGATGGAGCTCCGTGCCCAAGGAGACCCAGGCTGTGTGGGGATGGATGGGGGCTGCACAAACCCATGGTGCCCACCCCTCGGATTTCCTCCCGTGGCAGCAATTCCCAAACCTTTTGGGCTTTTATTTGGCTTTTCCAGGCCTGTAGATGAAAAGAGCAACGACGGGGTTTGTGCGTTCTGGGAACATAAAAGCCAAGGGAGAAACCAGCAATAAACCAGCAACAAACCAGCAACACTTTTTCTTATTCTTAAGGCTACGGGAGCTCCCAGGAGCTCAGAGATGCGATGGTTTAAGTGATATCTTTATGTCACTGCTGATTTGGCCTCGTTGCCAGAGTCACCCTGCAAACAAACCAGCCAGTTCAAGGGTTTTTGGGGGAACAAATTCCACCCCTCCTCTCCCCCACCACCTCTGTGGGATCTGGAACTGCTCAAGCTCCAATTTCCCCTTTCAGATTTTAATTTGGAGATTTTTCCCCCTCCAGAGGGTTTTGGAGTGGGGGTGACAATCCAGGAGAGGCTGGAGGGCTGGTCCAGGCTTCTCTTGGACTTCAGGGAGGAGGAGAAGGATGGTGATGCTTGGCAGAGCCCACCCAAACCGGGGTGAGTAGAGGGGCAAGATGAGCCTCTGCGCAGCAAAAGGGCGAGAGATGATAAGTCAGAGAGGGAAAACTCACACGAAATCACTCCAAATTTCTCAAAACCATCCAAAATATCTGAGTACGGAAAGCGTTTGCTCTGGAGAAGGGATGTCCACCCCAACCTGCCCACTTGCCCGTGGCAAAGGCCGAGCTGGCAACTGAGGGGCTGCATTTTGGCTCCGGCGAGGAGCTTTGGGCAGCAGATCCTGGTGTCCGACAGGCGAGAGGCCACGGGGACGGGCTGTCCCCGCACGGAGGGGTCCAGCTGCCCTCATCTCAGCTGCGCCATCGCTCCCCAGGCCCCAGCTGCTAATTACGCGCGGGGAAGATGATGATGATGATGATGGCTGCTCCGGGCCCCAGCGGGGAGGTGGGGAGGTCTGTAAATTAGCTGAGCTCTGCTGGGCGCAGAGCAGCTGAACACGGCTCCCGGCCTCGCCTCGGGACAGAACGGCCGGGTCCAGGCGTCGGGGAGGGACAAGCTGCAGCCCCGGCACCCGCTGCCCAAATCCCGGGGGCCAGAGGGGGGAGATGGAGACGTTCCCCCCTCCCACCTCCCCCCCAGCACCTGAGCCGCACGAAGAGGTCGAGGTCTGGTGGATCAGAGCCAGAGATGGATCATCAAAGGCGAAGAAAAGGAGGTGGTAACTGCTCATTAGGCTGCGCGAGAGAAACAGCTGGACACAAGGTCCCCGAAGGGTTAAACTGATCTGAGAGCAGCAAAAAAAAAAAAACCAACCCCACAACCCTTTAATAATTTCTTTAGCATACTGTTTTATGAGGCAATTAAAGGCCGGCGAAGAGTTTACAAGGGCCAGCTCCAAACCTTTCATTTGGGGAGTTATTAAAGGAGCTTTGAAGCGTTTTTGTCGATAGGGTATTTTACAGGAGCCCGTAAACCGGACCCCGCTCCACACCTGCCTCCCCCAAACCGCTGCTCCTGGGGGACCTGAACTCCCTCCCCAGCTCTGACCCTGGGGATGAGGTCTGGTTGCTTTAGAAGAAGGTTTGTGGCCCAGAAAAGGGACATTTTCTCTTAAAAGCAAAGAAAAAAGACTCCTTTTTTACTGTGGAGGGTGCCTGGGACCTGCTGCCTGGTCCCCCCGGTCCCCGATGCTCCTCCATCCACCATCATGCTGGATGCTGGGGGGAACAAGGGCTCTGTGGGCAGAAATCCCTGTCAAACACGTGTTTTTTCTGCCCCCTACAGAAACCCAGTCTCCCCCAGTTTGAGAGGGGAGCTGTTCCCAGGGGCTGCGGCCGCCGCGGCGCTTCTGCCAGGCGGAGAATGACATTCGTTATCTCCGGCAGCCAGGAGAGATGCTCATTTATCACCCCGGCCCTCCGAGGGTCCTCAGGAGAAACCTCCAGCCCCCCCCCTGGAAAAAAAACCAGCTCTTTCCAAAGAGCTTTAATTACCACTATACACTCAGGAAAACGCTCGTTACTCTCCCTTTCAGATAAAATTAACTCCGGGTAAAAGCCGCGCTTGACTTCACAGCTAGCAATTTTGGGACATAAATGACTGTTTTTTATCCAATATTTTGCAATTTAAAGAAAATGCAGCCTTGCAAGCTGTCACTCTCATCAGGGCTGCACTGCTGCTTGGCATTTTTCTGAAAACCAGGTTTTTTAGAGCCAGGTAAGGAGAGGAGAAGAGCTGTCTTCTCTTGTTCTCTCTGAAGGCAAACAGGGCTGCAGAGAACACCGAACGTGCTCACCGAGAGTGTGCAGAGGGGAAAAAACCCCTCAATTCAAGTTTTTTTAAATCTCCTGCCTTGGGGGTTTGAATCGGAGAGACTCGTGCTAGAAAATATAGAATTTCCAACCACCTCATGCGATGCTCACCGTGTACGAATGCACTTGGTGCCCACAGAGTTTGTATTGGAGCTTTTTTTTCTGTCTCGTGGTCTTTTTAGCTTCTGCCACGAGGTTCTTCGGCATTTATTTAGAAGTATTTAGAAATATTTAGAAGTATTCAGAAGTATTCAGAAGTATTCAGAAGCAGTGCAGCAAGGAGCTCACTCCTTCACCGCGCAGCGTGTAGATGTTCTAGTTCTGCAGACGGGAGCGTATAGAAAATAAAGCTGGATTTTAATCAAGCAAAGCACATTAAGATGGGACAAAACGAGGGTGGCTTCAGGCTGGGGGAGCAGCACTGAACCCTGTCACTGGGGCTTTTATCTCACACTCATGGACGAACCCAAAAAGGGCAGAAAACTGGGTTAACGCTGTTAGTTAGGGCAGTAAAAATGAGCAAGAATACATCGGGGCAGAAGAAAATTAGCCAGAAAAGGAGGAAGGAGCACCCAGAGAGAAAAGCAGCGCGGCGAGGGGAGCGGGGCTGCTCGGAGCTGAGGGCGAGAGGCCAAACGAGGGGTTCTGTAAAAGCCCGACCCGGCGCAGGGAAGTCAAATGACAAAGCCGAGGGGAACAGGCAGCAACTGTTCCCTCTCCCTCCTGATCTGGGGCTCGGAAGCCAGCAGCTGGCAGATTCAGCAGGAACAAAGGGACACGCTTCTCCAGACACGGCGTTAATTAAGATGCAGCCCTCCGCTGCCGGATCCCTGGAGCCGTCCCACACAAATCACACAAAGGCACAACAAATCTCCCCAGGACCGCGACGTCCCAGGGCATCACCTGGATCTCGGGAAGCCCCTACCCCGGGGGATGGCTCCGGGGGATGGCTCCAGGAGGAGCAGGGCTCTGTGTCCACCTCATTCCTTTGCCTGTGGCCCCATCAGAACGAGCCAGGAGACCAGAATAATGTCATTTTTAATTCCTTACTCCACACCTGCCCAACTCCTGTCCAGTTAGACCCCAGCTCAGGCCTCTCCTGCAGCATCTTGCAAATTATCCCTGTTTTCTCAGCTCAAACGAGTGTTTAAGCTGTTGTGTGGAGATCAATACTTGTCCCCACTGAGGAGGAAGATGCCCAGGACGATGCGGGGTGCTGGAGGAAGGGTTCCTCCCCGGGGAACACACGCAGAAGAGACAGAGCTCGGGACAAAGGGGGCCATGGAGGCAGAACCGGGATGGGCAGGCTCCGAGCAGGGACGTTCAGCCCCTGGAATATCAGTTCTGTGGGAGAGGGAACCAGCTGCATCTTACTCGGCACAAAATCAGCTACTTTAGACCAAAAAGCTATTTTGAAGCCTGGCTCGAGCGCCATCAATCTTTAATCTCCAGCAGGTATCACCTTTGGGGGGGGATCGACTCTTGGAAAAGAGGGAAATAGCTGTAAATGGCTCCTACTTTAGAGGCTGGAAATAGCTCAGGAATATGGAATATTGATGACTGCCCCAGCCCGGAGCGGGTGTCCGCATCCTGCTGACCAACCGGGGACACAGACCCAGCCACCAGAAGGGCATGGGCGCTGCTTTTGCCTTCTTTTTATCACCCCGGTGGGCTCAGTCCTGCAGAGCTGGTGGCTGGTGGGGGGAGAAGCAGCGGAGATCCCGGCCCCATGTCCACAGGGACTGGCAGTGCCCCAACAGCGGCGGCCAAACGAGCCCCACACAGAGACACCTCTTTTTGGTGGCTTTTGGGCAACATAAGGAGAGAGCAAGAAGAGCTCAGCTCTGAGGAAAAGCCTGAGCTTCCTAAGAAAAGCGATTTCCCTCTCTTTGATACTTATTTCCTTCCCTGGTTTCAGAGTGGGTTGGGACCCACCACATCCGTCACTGCAGCTGACCACGGTTTCTGGGCCACAGGCTCAGAGAGCTGCTGATCTCCTCCCTTTCTCATGGAATCCCAGAGTGATGCTGGGTGGGAAGGGACCTCTGGAGATCATCTCCTCCAACCCCCGGCCAGAGCAGGTGACAGGAAGGATGCTGAGCAGCAAAGTGACCTGCTCCTTCCAGCCTGGCCAGCCCCAGGGCACCGTTTGGGGCACAGTCTCAAACCACCCTCCCAATAA